AAGAAAGTCAATGAATATGGGTTGACTTCTAAGGTAAGGCTGTAGAGATTGCCTGAAAAAAGTAGCAGTTCATTAAATTTTATGTCCCTGATTAATTTGTCCTTATATTCTAATTTAATCCAAGAAACAGAAATGTGAGGTAGGCACTGAAAATATGGTTTAAGATAAAGGTTTAAGGCTAAATGTCAGAATTATAGCTTCTGTTTCTTAAAAATTAACTTATCAGCATGGATTTTCTTGGAGTTTATAAACTGACTCTAAAGCAACCCAGGCTTTTGGGGTCCTGTCATCAGCTGGATTTATTATTGTTGATATGGTAAAGTCTGGGAATCCAGTACAGGGAAGTTAGAATAGGTAAGGTTTCTTAAAAACATTTTACTCGAGTTTGTCCTGTTGCTTTTGATGCCCAATGATCCCCTTAGCACAGTGGGATTTGTGCATGGTCATACTTTGGAAGCCTCATCAACCCCTCATGAAAGTGGAAATGAACTGGTTTGTTCCTTTTTAATGAAATTTTGGTCAGAATTTGGATAGAAGATCTATTGTGTTTTAAGTAGAACTTACAGTTCCTGTATTTAAGGTAGCATTTAGCAAATTTGTTTAGGACTGCCTATAGCAAAGTTTACTAAATAATTTCCGATATAGTGTTTTTTTTTTTTTATGCCAACTTGAGGAGTTCTGGATTTAGCTTAAATAAACCCAACATTGGGTAGTTATTCTAGGTGGGAATGAGGGAAATCTACTTCATCTACCTGCTTTTTAATAGCACAAGTTTTAAAAGCTTCAGTAAAATAGTAATAAAAAATAAAAAGCAAAAAACCAAAACAAATTAACAAAAAAAAAGAAAAAAAAAGCCTAAGGAAAACAAACAAATTGACCAAAACTGTAGTCTTGGTAGTTTTAATGAATGAAATTTGTGGAAGAAGGGAAAGTGAGCTGTTTTGTCTCTGTTAAGAAAGATTGTCCAGCTGTCTCGTGAAGAAGCACTCACTACTTGTGCTGTGGACCAGAGATATGAAATTTAGCAGCTGAAAGGTCTCTCATTTCTTGCCCTTCTGTCTTTCCCAGAGTGCTTGCCTGTCTGTCCTCGGCTATCCAAACATCTTTGTTTGCATCAGCCTATGGAAACTTTTTAGACTTTTTTGATAGACTATCTGAAAATTCTCCTGGCAGCACGCATTTTCTGGCTTTTGGGACTGTCAGAGCTGAGCCAAGGCTGCCTTGCAGGTGTCCTCTCATGACACTGGCATGGTGTTCAGCTGTGGAGAGAAAAGCCAGAGGCTGTTTATTTCTCTGGATCTTCTCTTCCTGAAATCTTGGAGGAGAGAGCCTGACTTGAAAGCCCAGGGGTAAAATCATGAAAGCGGAGGGATGAGAAGCAAGCAGAACGAGCGACATCAGTGGAGGCAGGTGAATTTGGCACCAGAAGAACAGGAAAGGAACAAGCAGCTGGGTGGGAGCTGTGGGAGCAGGAGGGACTGGGGTGAGCCAAGAGAAGCCAGGGGAGAGGAGCAGAGGCATGGGGAGCTCTGGAGCAGCAGCAGTGTGGCGGGAGCTGTGGTCTGGAAGGCGTGGAGCAAAGGCATTGCAAGGCTGAGAGCTAGCTATGGACGACTACCCACAGCCCTGTTTTGGAAAGGCAAGGAGGGAGCCCTGATCCCACAACCACCACTTCTCCAATTCAGCAAGGAGCTGGGAAGCACACCAGGAGAATGAGCCCCCCTCCATCTGCTACCCACTGCTTGACCAAATTGGTTACCCATTATGAGCAGAATTTGCATGGGCAGCAGTGAACTTGGAATAGATCCCAAATGTGTGGGAGCCAGCATGGTCCCACATAATGGTTTATTTTGATTTCTCTAACCGCCATCTTGTGGGGTTTGGTTTGATTTTTAAATTTTTGATGTTTCTTTTCTTTCAAGGGGGAGAGGGTATTTTGTATTTACTAAATAACATTCAAAACTGTTTGGTATTCTACAACACAAACATAATCTCTCTTAATACTGTTACAGAGAGATTCAACACTGGCAAAGTAAATTGTATGGAACCTGCTCCTCCAACCCCATCCAACCAGCCCAATGCCCTAACGTCTCAGCAGGGTTTCTCTCCTCTGTCTGCATTTCTTGTAGCTGTTTGCAGGTTTAAAAATACTCTGTGTTCCACAAACTTCCAAACAAAATGGCTCAACAGACAGCAGTCACATCCTACACACCTACGCCCACAGGCGCACACAGCAGCCATGCAGATACTTAAGCTGTCTCTAACACATGTAGTTTTCCTTATTACCAAGTACTAATCTCTTCCCTTTCCAATGCCTTTAAAATAAAAGTTATATGTGCATATGCACACACAGGAGAAGGAAGAAGGAGAGGAAAAAGTGTGTGGATTGGTTTATCTGCATTCAGATCCCTTAAATAAAAGTCTTTGGTGATCTCTGCACATTCAGGTCCAGATTCAAAGCCTGTGGAGGTTAGCAGCTAGTGTGGCACACAGAATATTTTGGAGGATAATTATCATCTCTATTTCTAGACAAAAAGTATATCTATAATAAGTGTGTCACATGGCACAGGCATCTCTCTCAGGGGGCGCTTTACAGTTTGCTGTGCAAACTCTGGCATATTTGGTTTTCTTCAGAAATAAAGAATGCATTTTGTCCATGTAAGCTAGTATAATTTACATTTCCTGAAAGCAAATTTAAATTAAGCAACATTGATTTTTTTAGTTATAGGTTTTCTTAATATATAGAGTAATACCACTAGATCTTCAAGAATAAGACTTATTTTTTACTTTACTTTTGCATCAAATCCATTCACTTTTCATAACAGGTATTCTATCAAACCACAAGATGCTGAGTATTATCCATAGTTTCTTCTCTTGCATTGGAGTCAATCCAGAAAGCTGTAACACTCTTGAATTCAAAATCTGTGTTTATGCTAAGGTTGGGAATCCTAAAAGTTTTAAGGTTTCTTAGAGGCAACCCACTTTGATTTTTACTTACCTTTTTCAATTTTCTTTCTTAGTTTCTCCCAGATGAAATCAGATCAGATATTTGATGAAGATAATATATTTTTCTTTTTTTCATGAGTCATTACACTACTTATGAATTTTGTTCTGTTGAGGAATAACATTCAAATGTCCTTCATTGAAGATGTTTTTATATTGCCATTTCTCACCTAGGCTAGGAAAGGAGGAGAATGCATGAAGTGAAAGAAGTTTTTAATTGTTGATTTTTAGAGCTCAACAGACATTGTCTTTTTGTTTGATTTATGCAGCTGAGTGGTTTATTCAGCTATGCCACTTGAGAATATTAAAAACCCTTTCCCCTGTGACCACCTCAAACCAACAACACGAGGATCTTGCCATCCTAGAAACTGATGGTTCAATGGCATTAAAGATCTAGAAATAAGTGATAGCTTATCAAGCTTTGTGCCTTTCAATATGGCCATTTTTTCCTGGGGGAGGTGCAATTCCAGCCCCTTGCTCTGTCCCTTTCCTTTTAGTGAGCCTTGCCCTCAAGCAGGTAACTCTGCCCTGTGCTTGCTCAGCCTCAGTGAGAGGCTGCAGTGTATCAGGGACCCAGGGGCCAACCAGAGGGAGAAAGGGGACAAAAAGGGAAATGCCGCATTTCAGGCAGTGTTCTGCTTAAAACATATGGGGTTTGTCCCCTGTTGAGTCAGCTGCTGCACCACGGATTTGGGGTGCACAAACAAAAGCAGATTGTTGTAGTGATAAACTACATGAGATCAAGCCTTTCCTTGCATTCTTTCAAGAATAATTAATTCTAGAAGAGTCAATTTTCAAAAAATCAGAAATTCAAGAAACATATTTACTGGAATAATTTTCAGCCAGCTCATAGAAGACACTACAAGCAATGGAGGAGGATACAAAGACAGCTGCAATGAAACATTTCAAATTTTCTGTTCTTTAAGCTTCCCATTTGGCAAAAAGTTCTAATACTTTGGGTTTTGATCTTTGTTCAACATGAAAACAGATGTCAAAACATGTTCCTTCACAGCAACAGTTATACTTTTGATCAGCTTTAATGGCTTTTGGAAGTATGAGTTTCTTCTGATAAGGTACATTCTTATCAAATACAAAAAAAAATAATGCGTCCATTAACATCTTCATTTCTTTTATCTCTCACCCTTTGCAAATATCATTGTATTTGCATGTTCCCATTGTGATGCATTTTCCAATGATTGTTGCCCTCCCCCAGTAGGCTTTGACATTGCAGAATGATTGTACTGTCACAAAACTGGAATGCTCCAACAGACAGGATTAGAAATGGTCAGCAGATTAAAAGTGTTTGTTTGAAGTTTATTCTTTGGTTTGAAGTAGTGGGGGAAAATATTTGCATAAATGAATTTTTAATATATACCAAAAATAAAAAGCTGCTAAACAAAATGTAGCTTGTGTGCATTATCATGAATTTTTAATTATGCAAGCATTTATGTTCTTTGTGTATTTTGACTTACGGCCATGTGAGACACATGAGTGAACTGTCACTCATGCAGAATTAATTCTAATTTGTCCATATAGGGCAAAATACCCTGGGAAAATACAAGAACACTTTTCATTGGCAGCAAACCCTAGTTGTTGTTAGTCATTTGAGAAAATTATTGTTAGCAGACTATCCAAATTCTGTAGGTCAAATCCTTCCTTGAAAAGAGGTGTATTAGCACATGACTAAATCCACTACAGGAGTGGATTTTATCTACTAAGCAACTGTATCTTTCTGTACTAAAACATTTATGTCTTTTTTTTGGCAATCTGAGCCAGGTTATTTAAATTAACAGTCGCTTGGAATGTACCAAGTGTAATTTTGAGTGAAGTTAACTTTTCTACAGTATTGCAAACCAAAATCTTTCGTTTCCCACAAAACACAATACAAAAGCAGTTTGTAAAGAGTCTTTAGACTTTGCGCTTCTTCTCCCAGGTGAGTTACAAATAAGAAGTTGTCACTGACACATAGGGCAACAAATGGATAAAGCAAGCTTGAATTCTGAGATCTATAATTTTTAATAATCTTTAAACTAGCTACAAAATGTCAATCACTTCACAAACTGACAGGAGACATAAGGAATTTTCATATTACATGCTGTAAATGATATTTACCTCACAGTTTATCTAGAGTTCATTCATTTAGGATTTTTAATTATTTTTAATTGTCAGCTACTAAACATCTCAGCAATTTGGTGTGCATAGCTCTAGGTAAGCAACAGAGAACTGTACCGATAACAAACACATGGGGATAGCGACTAGTAAAGAGAGAGCCTTATAAAAATTACATTTCTTTGCACCATTTCATATGGTAGTTGTTTCCTCCAAAAGATAGTCTTCAAAAGCAGCAGACAAACCCAATATATTACACTTATTTCTTTTTGTCTTTGACATATTTTCAGCCAAGCTTTTATTTTGCTGGCAATGGCTAAATGGTGAGTGCCAAATCCCTCTTTTTTTTCATAATTAAAAAAAATGATCATGATTAATAACTATATATATATCAACAAGAAAAAAGTGGCACAACTGCAAACTTGCTGGTATAACATAGTCCCAAAAGAGTCCGAATACTGAGCATGCTTTTGTTGTCATTGTTGGTGTGCTACTGCCATGGGAAAATTCTTGTTTAAGTAGGAGTCTAAAAGTCTATTTATTCCTCATGCATAACTGCATAAATCACATCACTTTTTAGTGCAATGCTTGTTATAGTAATATAATTCCACATTGTCTAATCATGAAATCATAACAACAGATAATGGCAATGAAGAACTGAAGACAGCAGGTTTAAGTGCTTAAACATCATGATATCCAAAGACAGGAGCATGGCAGTAGCTCTGTGGAATGTCACAGTTTTACAAGAACAATACTGTATATTTAAAGGTTAACAGCACGTTTAGCATTCCAACAGTGTTGTCATTCAGCAAACATCATTTTAAAAAAAAGAAAAATGAGAAGGAAAAAAAAGGAAAGGAATCCAAAACATAAACAAGGAAAGGAAAGGAAGAACCCCAAAAAACATCATAGTGAGCTATAGCCATCAAATCAGCCCTATGTACAACCTTTGGAAAGAAAGATATCTAGAAAAAAATAATTACAAATATCATTTTTGGAAAGCTGACAAACTACACAGGACAACATTTACAATGGGGCTGATATGTGCATGTGTGCAAACCTAGTAGATAAATACCATGATAAAAGCATGAAGGTGCTGCCCTCCTGGACAGCATTAAAAGGAAATGCACTTCTCTGCATTTAACCACTGCCCAGCATCTTTGTTGCACGCTGGTTGGCTTCATCAATCCTGGTTTTGTTGGAATCAGCCTGGGGAAACACAAAGGAAAGAAAGAGATGAGTACAGGGAAGAAAGAGAGTATGACAGAAAAAAAGAATAAGGGGAAGAAAGACCCATATTCTTTTGGAATTTTGGAAGTGGGTACTTCCATAATTTTGGCTAGGTCATGGAAAAATGAAGCTTGATAATACTGGAGAGCTGCTTTTTATAGTGGTATTAGGGACCCAAAAGGAGATTACAGATTATCTGGTTTTACTTCATGTAGCCTTTGAGCAGAGCTTTTCTGTTTGTGGTCAGCTGCACTGAATCCTGTAAATGCTGTGCCACATCTGTAACTGGTGCTGTTGTCAGCACTGGTGGTACTGATGGTAATGGATGATGGCATGAGAACTGGTGGTGTGCATCTGCATTTTCTTGGGAAAAGCTTCAGAGCCCTCTAAGATTCAGTGGACTCAGACTGTGGTCTAATTTAGATCATCAGGTACTAGCCAAAACTAAAACTTGGTCAGTGTAGAGACTCCCAGAGCAGACAAGCTGGATCATCTGACATAGGGAATGCTGGCGAAGATAAATTTCTTTGAAAGATCAGCCTGGATATCCTTGCTCTGCATGTGAAAGGAAGGGAATAGGTGGGAGGGATGCCAGTACTCCAAAGTTCACCAATGTAGTTGCAAGAGAGAGTAGCCTCTTTCATTGGGCAGCAGTATAAACAAGAGTTAATAAAAGGCAGGGATTCTACTGTGATTTGAAGCAATCAAACTGCAATTTAGTCCAGCATAGACTGAGCCATTAACTGCACTGTTTTCCCTGGAGTAACACCTGCCATGATTATAAAATGCCATTAATAAAATGGCGCCACTTAGGAGCTTGGGGAGTTCTCTCTGAGTTTGAAGACGCTTTGACCATGACTTTCTGTAGCTCTGCAGAAGTTACTTTTGGAGACTAAAGACACTGTTTTAGCTGACAAAAATTGGCAAAACTCCACTCAACCTCACGTTGCCATGCCAACTTATTCTAGAGGAGGGACTAGGTAGAAAATACTTTCAATTTTTAAAACCAGGCCTGTGGGTAAGGTGAGAATTGTGTTGCTGCTTGAAAAGCATGAGTTCCAGTATCAAACACTTTCTCTGTTTTGATGGCTGCATTTTGTTAGCTTTGATGATTGTTCCCACATCTCTGGGGTGTATCCAAATTTTACAGATTTATTTTAAATCTCCAAGTTGCAAAGACAGAATGGTGAAGCAACTTTCCCACATGCATTTAAAAATCCTTTAAGACTGTTTATACTGATGTGCAATAAATCTTTCTTGCAATAAAAATATCTTGGGCTTTTCTCCATAATTGTTTTGGAAAGTGCTATGTATATTTTTAGTGCAGTAGCACGTACCAGCTCCTCAACAAGTGTAAATCAGCAAAACTACTCATTACAAGCCACACTGCTTTATTGTAGCCATGAGTTTGACCTTGTCTACCACAGTACAATTTTGTGCGCTTTTGCCAAAACACTACCTAAACAGTTAATGGGTTGGAAGAAGTTACCTTTGTTACAAAATGCACGAATATTCATTGAACAGTGATTAAACCTCATGTCCCTAATGATGTTTGGACATTAGTGTCTGGTGGATGATGTTGAATTGAAGGTAGTGGGATTCTTTGTGCTCACCTTCCCACTTAGGTCAAGACAGAGTGATTTGAGCCCACTCTACTTTCTTCCCAGCCTCCTACTTATGGTAGCTGTTAGGGCTAGGCTCTTCTGGTGATGGTGTCATTTAACCTACTCATCACACTGTCATTTTGGTTTTTGTCCCTTTCTCTCTGATCTGAGGAAAGGATAAATAAAGCCTTTTATTCATTGCTGTCCTGATTACTGTGGATAGATCAGATTGCATCACTGCATTATGAGATTGCTCTGGTTTGGGTGCATGCATCCAGTATAGCATTTATGATGCACCCCAGGGTACTTTAGGCTGGATTTTTGATGTACCCAAACTTTTGCAAAGTGTGCCAACCAAGGGTCTTTCTAATGACCATAATCCACCCAAAGCAAAACCCTGGTAATGCTGTGAGGGGGACAAGGCTCTGTTGCCATATTTCATTGCAGAATGGATGTGTGTGCAACTGAGGTTTCGCTGTTATCCAGCTAACTATTATTTCTGTCTTTTATAGAGGGTTTTACTAATACATTGTGTTCCTTTTTCTAGTACCTCATTACTGTATGTCCTTACTCTGAGAAATTTGGCTTATTTTTCACTAAAACTGAAGACTGTCTTATTTTTGTGCTGCTCTCATGATGACTCCTCTGTGTACAATGCAATCCATCTTTCACAAATGTGTCACTGTTCCTTAGCCAAGGGCCCTGGGTGATTTCATGAATGCATTAGCTGCCAATATTATTTTGCCATTGCTGTACAAAATGCCAGTCTGTGAGAAGACCACAGAGCTGTGGAAGACTGGTCCCTCGGGTCACTGCTCTCAGCATATACTGTTAGAGGTTTGGCCCATGTGCTTTATGTGCACACAGAGCCTGGTCAATGTTTTCAAAATCCAGATGTTCGCAAGCCTGAGCTGGTAGGAGAACTTGTTGGGCTTGCTGTACTTTGGGATAGGATCCTGCAGGCATGGGTAGGATGATTTCCATCCACAGGGCACGTCTCCAGCCACTGTGACATGAGCAGGGGAGGTAGGAACACAATATTGCATGTCCTCATTGCTTTGAGATAAAAATGTATGTCATAGCCTTCTTATTTAAAGGTAGTCATAGTGTAGGCTGTATAAATTCCCTGTCCCTTCTCAAAGTATAGAGAGATGTGCTGCTTTTTAGTCCATTGCACATGAATAGCAGTAGTAAATCCTTCCCCCAATGTTTCTTGTTTTCCCAGAAGTATGAAATGGTGCATAATGGCATCCCAGCAATACTGTTCATTTTCCAGTACAGTCAAAAAAACACATACAGCTTTATAAAGCAAGACTTTTGACCAACACCATGCCACATGCTCTACCATGACTGCCTCTCTATCAGGGATGATCTTCCCACAATCAGACAATGTATACTTCACCCAGTTCTCTCCAGAATCTACCTCCAATAAGGAAAGCTCTTGGAGTGAATCCCTCAGTACAGTATTTTCCTTAATTTTTATTTCTAGGCTCTGATATAATTAACTGACATGAAAAACAGGCATGGGCATCCTGCTTGTTTGAGGAGGCATGCGTGTGTGAGAAGGCTCAAAAGCACCAGCTCTACCACTGGAGGTCAGAATTAACTCTAAGCACTACATGTAAGTCCTTGGGTTAGATCCTCAGGTTGTGTAAATCTCCATGGAAGTGGAGAGTTTTGTTGATTTACACCAGATGAAGATCTAGCCTCTTATGTCACATCGGCCTGCCTGTGCCTGGAGCTCTGCCAGTACCAATGCAGATGGCCTGCAGATCTTGGGATCTTAGGATGGCAGTGAGATCACAGACAGGCTTGGAAGGGGCTGCTCTCTGCTTCAAAAATCTGCAGTGCAGGTCTGGCACTTGAACGGTGCTCTCTGCCTTTTTACATGGTGATTTTTCAGAACTAATGCTGAGCTTTTGTGTTCCACTGGAGCTGTGTGGGGCCCAATTATTTATAAATATATATACACACACACACCCTCTCCCAAGAGAGCAGGTAGATCTCTGTCCTAATGTTGTTATAAGCAGCACAACAAAACTGCCTGCACTGTTACCATATGGCAAAACTTTGCTTAATAAATCCCCATCCTTCTTTGAAGACTGGTCCCCCAAGCAGGTGATCTAATCCTGAGCTGCTCATGGAGTTTCCGAGGAAGGAGAAGCCCAGGAGGATTTAAAACTTTCCAGGAAGTGCCAGGACAGTCAGATCCAAGACCCACAGTTCAGCATAGCTCAGGGCACTTGTCCTTTTTCAGAGCTATTGCAGGAGCATTGGTGTCTGCTAAGGGGTCCCCTTGCACCTGTGTGGCAAACTCAACAGGAAGGGTTCAACCCAGCCTGCACTGGAGGTGCAGATTCACAGCAACGAGCTCTGCTATGGCCCAACATTTGGAGGGAGAAGAGAGGAGCTATTCTGCCCCTTGTCTTTTTCAGGCCCATGCTTGGAGAAGGGAAAACAGAGCCCCTTTTGGAGTCCTCACAGAAATGGCAGCTCTTACCTTCTCCATAATCCTGTCAATCTGGCGATTCTGTGTGTCAATCTCGTTGCCCATGTCCAAGGCCATGTGACGTAAGTTGCCAATGATGCCGCTGACCTGCTCCAGGTTCTCATCCATTTCATTTTCCCGGGCATCATTTGTTACCCTGGGAACAAAAACCCATTTCTTTAAAGCAGAGACAGGAGATTCCCCCTGAAACTGTGATTCACCCGAAACCTCCACTGCATCCTTCATTGCTTGTCACCTGAGGAGGAGGCTGCTGTGCTCAGCTTTGAACAAAAGGGATTAATGAGTAGATAACCTGAAAAATGTTACATGCTTATTTTTTGGATGTTGGGCTCAATTATCTGAGTTATCAGTGCTCTGTTTATACTGCTCATGTCTGCTGTTGGTAGAGGTGTTGTTGTCTGAGCTTACCTGTACCACATGCTGCAGCTCTCTGCAGTGATCATCCTTCCCAAAGAATGAAAGCGTGCTCCATATGGATCTGTGTGTGGTTACCATTCATGGGAAATGCTGGAAGGTGGTAGAATTACAGTGATAGCAGCTCCCCTCCCTGGACTGCTAATGAATACTGTCCAGTCCTTGTATGCCTGGGGCTACAGAGATACTGGGGAAGAGGTGCTTCAGCTGTGAAATCCTGACCTAAAATCATATTTAATTAACTGTATTTCTGGTGAAAGACAGAAGCACAATTTCCTGCACAATCTCAGATTTACTGGCTTTAGTAAAGATCATTTATCTCTCAATCTTAGCACCATCTCTGGCAGTTGTTTGCTTTTTGGAAGGAAAAACTTGTGCTTGAGCCAAGGACCAGTTCAACTCCCCAGTGATTCAAGAGACAGATGGTGACTGAAGCTGGGAAAAGCCAGGTCCATGGGTTCCACTCAGAAAATTGCTACTTTGAGTCTCTTATGCAGTTTGTGTTCATGTAGGTGCCCATGTAGGCTATTTGCAGAACAGTCATGGTGCAGCGTAACTTCCTTCACTGCTCTTCTATTAACATGCCACAGCCTTCATTTTGGTGGGGCTGCCATCCAGAAATTTAGAAAAAAAAGTGAATGGCAGACTCATCAAACTTAAATGGCAACTCCATCCCACGCTTCAGATTGTATGACAGCATTGTTTCTATCATACTGATTTCCCTTTATCACAGCAGCCAAAAAAATAAGTGGATAATAGTTTTTGGAAAGATAATTACTTATTAAACTAGTGTCCTTAATCTTCAGAGATCAAAGCTTTGCCTACTGGTATGCTGACAGCATTGTCAGCTAAATACATGCCCCGTAAACTCCATAATCAGTAGGTACTTCTGCTGGATCCCTGTGTGTCGTGGGAAATTTGAAGTGGGGCTGCCTTTAATATAGCTGTGTGCATCAAAATGGCTTTGATTTGAAAGCCCAGGGATTCCCACTCTGTTCCTCCATAGCTGTGGCTTCCCAGCAGCTGAGGAATGGAGCATCATTCCCCATGCAGTGAGGTTTTGAGGACGCTCAAGAGCAGGGGAGGGGTGCACCTCTAGTTTAAAGTGTTCCTCAAGTTCTGTGCTTAGCTCGATGCTTTGGCAGGAAGCCTGAGGCTTTTTTGTTGTTGAAAAGAAAGGGAAAGCTGCTGGATGCTTTGGTACATCTTCTGGCAAGGAGGGATAATGGGCACTACATGCCTTGAGACATAATAGCAATAAACTAGTATTTATCTGACACTTCATCTCTGAGGCGTTTGACAAGTGTCATTAGCGAGACCCTTGATAAGGCCCCCAGGACAAGTGTCCACACAGGGAGATGGAGTGACAAGGACAGTGCTGGCTGGCCATGGCTGTCTGCACCCTCACAGTGCTGCTGTGAAATAAATAAACAGACTTTCATTTATTATTGCCCACATCTGAACAGTCTCAAAAATAAAGGTTTGGGCTTGTGTTTTCAAGCATCTTCTGGTTCTCAGACCCTTATTTCCAGGATTTCCAGCAAGGTCCCCATCCTTTGCACTAGAGCTCAGGTGACCCTCAGGCCAAGGATAAGCCCCTGGATGCAGTAAACCTTTAGGATGTGTCTGAGTCACCGTCAACCTGAATCCGAGCACCACTTGGTGGAAAATCCTGGCTCCATCACATTTCCCAGCACCTCTGAAGGAGTTAATGAGCACCACAGAACTCATGACCATATGGAAGCAATCTAAATATATCAGTGACAAGGAGAACAGAGAGAAAACAGTGGATAAAAAGGCTCACCTGCGGATAAAGCCACCACTGATGGCCATCTGCTCCCGTTCATCTACAACACGTGCAGGCTGGCTGGCTACAACACCATCCTGATTATTGCCCCAGGCCTTTTTGTAAGCATCACTTGATTTAAGCCTATGCAAAAAAGATGATGAGTAACAAAGTACCAAGTGCACAAGGACAAATGCAAAACTCTTTACCTCTCCAAGCTAAAAGCTGAATCAAGCAAATGAGTTTTCAGATAGAGGGTCATTGTTTGTATACCGATATATCATAATGCTGAATAAAAGGAGGGGGTGGGTTTTTTGATTATTTTTTACTTTACTGCCACAACAGTGATGGTCAGAGGTTTAGTTTCCAATAGGGTGAATTGCAGTTGTCATGTCTACAACATTGCACACAGGTTTTTGTATGTTGACTTAGTTTCTGGAATGAAGGAAAATTAAAAAAAAAGAAAAAAGGAAAAAGAGAAGAAATACAGATAAGTAGAAAACATTGTTTCATTTCAGTGACACATATGTTTTGACATCAAACACAGAAGACGTACTGGCAGACAGACATAAAAACAGAACTGCCAAGTATAGTGTGTACATCACATCACAGCAACACACCCTCTTAGAGAAAAACAGATTTGGCTACAATTTATAACATTTCACCATGCAGAATATTTGGCTTCTGATGATATTTTTTTCAATGTATATGTGGCACAGTAGGCATTAAAAGCCACTAACTTTTCCAAAGGTGATTTGGGGATGATTTTATCATAGGGTTCATTAGATTTTTCAAATAATATATCGGTACTTGAAAATAGCAATCATACATCGACAGTTGATGTACAAACCTTTGTCCACAGAGACAAAAAGTAAAATAGGCAGAAGTGAAATGAGTGCAGGAGAATATAAAAGATACAAGCAATCTAGCATCAGAAAGGGAAATTTTTCTACATTTTTCTTCATGCACCAGCTACAGGCATGAATAAGAAGTAAAGCATTCTCACTAAGCACAGTTGCCCCAATAGTTCATCATACCCTCAATGCATCAGCATTAACAGCCTTCACAATAAGCAAGACACAGGCAAAAAAGGATCATCACTTCCTTCAGGAGTTTTAAACCACAGGACTTCAAAAATAGCAACTTGTTATATTTGTATTTTGTGGCAGTTAAATTAACCTTCAGAGAGCCATTTTTGACTGAGCTGCCATGGATAGAAAATTAAAATCCAGGCACCCCTAGAGCAGCAGATTGACACGTGCAGCTATTCAGGGCTGCTGTCATTGGGGTCACCAGACAAGACTGAACATTTTAAGAGGGGAATATAACGATTTGGAGTCCACAGGTATAAGTTCGTGATTTTATTCTGGAAATGGGTCCGTTTCCAACAAAACCCCTGGGAGCTGCAAATCTCTGTGGTTTCCCTATTCCTTGGTCAGCTCCAATCAGTCCTATAAACAGCCCTGTGGCTTGGATTTTGGGGGAGGAACTGAACGTGCTTCTGGGAGATTTGGGAAAGGACATGACAAACCCATCTCTGGTGTCATATTCTCTCCATGCCCCCTGAAGCAGCTCAGTTTTAAATAAGCCTGAAGATGTGTTGTATGATTCAATATAGAATTAAAATATAGATTACAAGAGGATCTTTCCTACTCATCTGTTCTGTTGCTTATCTCCTATTAAAGTTTGTGAAGACTATTTATAAATAGGATGGTTGGCTTGTTTAATTTTAGTTCTCTGAAACTATACATCAGATTTGGCAGTTCTAAAATGTCTGAAACTCAGTCTCTTGCTGCAGATACATTTACAGGGTTTTACCTGTTCTTTAGACCTGTGCAACTTTGTCAGTGAGACAGTTTCTGTGTTTGAGGTAAAAGATTTTATACACCCAGAATTTGATCTGTTGTTTTCTTGTGGACTTCCAATTAAAGTCAACAGGTGGAGCTTGGATCTGCTCATGGTCAATAGCAGTTGTCCTTTCGAATGCAACCTGGTCAAAGTTCCGTTCTGTTGGCATTTTTGGTCTCCTAAGAATGTAGGATCAAGCTTTACAGATTTTTATGGCTCAGAGAACTGTACTGTCACTGTATATCAGGGTAGAGTTACATGTGAAATGGATAATGATTTTATAAATATATGCCATTAATCTCCCACCAGTCAGAAGAGCTTTAGGGGATCATGGTGATTCTGATGCCCAGAACTGTATGGATTTCTCTCTCTCCCACACTCCACTCCTCAGAAGATCATCTTATCTGTACCAGTGGGGCCCTGGCTTAGCAACTCAGGGAACAGTCTCTAAAACCATTCTTCACCCATCCTCTGAGCATTGGTTAGCAATGCTGCTCTCTGAAATATGGCTGCAAACTGATCGGGTTAGAATGCCTTAGAGAAGGGAAGAGACCCCTTTACAAATTATGCCCATTATGTCCCCTGCAGAATCATTCTGTTCTTGCAGCATGACGCTGCAGCCGTAGCAAAGTGCCAAATGTTTTAGTGCCACATGCCAGGTGCTAATCCCATTGCTGTCACATGTCTGGCTGTCAGTTCTGAGCTTTTACAGCTTGTACAGTGTGGGAGAGGTGAAGTTTCTGCTGCATTTGTACCTGCAGCTCTTGTGCACCAGCTCCTCTGGTGCAGGGCAGTAAGGGCTGCAGGCTGTCAGAACTCATACACCTTGCAAAAGTGGTGTATGCAGCCCTTCCTGTTCCTCCTGCCCCCTCTCCCATTGCACATCAAGGCTATAATAATTCTGGGCAAAATGTTTATGCCAAAAAAGTATTCAGGGCTTGATACAAAGTAAAAAACACCTGAGGCCTTATCTGTATTGTGTCCCAAGCGAATTAACTTCAAAACAAATGTGATTGATAAGGCAAAACCCTAGTCCTGCTCCTCTGATTTTTGGTAAAATGACAGCTCTCTTTCCTTTTGGTTTTGATAATCAGGGTAGGATCAGGCTTTGGCTGTGAAAAAAATTCACATAGAAAGAGAATTTAATACTACAGCAACCCTTCTCTCTTTGTTTCCGGCACAATCTCTGGCCAACCATTTAAGACAGTTTTCACTGCAACCTAGTTTCATGCCTACTCACTGCATGCTGGATTTGCCATTCCTCAAGGACTTCGCGTTGGTTCCCAATCTCCTAGACCCGCATAACCGCACATCACATTTTCATTTGGCATTTAAAACAAGCTTGGCATTACTTGGAGGACAGTTTCGTTCAAGTGTGATGGCATGCAAGCAAATTCTATGCATTTCAACATTTCTGCTTAGTGTACATGCTACCCAAACGAGAGAAATTTGGCGTGTTGAGGTTTTGTCAAATTTTTTGCCTGTGGCAGGATGAAAACCATTTCAAGTTGGGTTCCAATTATGAAATGTCACATCTCTTTCAAGATCTTATCAAGGACTATTTCTGCTGAACAATGAAAAAAGCTGTGATTTTCATCCACAATTTTGAACAATATTTAGTATGACCTCTTCCACATTTTTTCAGCTCTTTTGTTTATAAAACTTGTTCATGAAAATATGTTTCAGAATTTAGAGTGTCCAGGAATAAGGTAGCCCCAATTGTTTTTGTTCGCTGGAAAATGGAACCACTCAGTACACTTTGTGTAAAATGTTGAAACTTTTACCATTAAAAGGTGTTGACAGTGAAGCTTTCACTGCAGTATGCCTGATTTTAATGCATCTACAATAATTCCCAGTCAGTTGTCTATGCTATGAAATGAATGCATTTGAACCAGAATAATTTTTTCTGCATGCCACATGCTCATCCTGTCCATGTGCCTAGCAAGGATGAGCTTCACAAGGCCTTTGGGATCAGCCTTAAGTGCTCAAAGAGATGAGGCAGGCAGCACCTACTTGTTACATGGACAGACACAAAGACCACAGAATTTTCCTAGGTCCGTCAAATTCTTTTCTGCTTCTTTCATGTCCTTATTGATTTGGTCCATTCCCTCTTCGATGCGTTCCAGTTGTTCTGATTAAACACAAGTATTTTATCCCCACAGAATGAAGCAGATGGAAAAGGACAAAGAAAAAAAAGACAAAAACTTCAGACATTCACTGTGACAAAAAACTGGACACCACATAGCAGAGCCGGTACCCAGTACCTACTTGTTACAAGGACATATGAAAAGGCCACAGCATTTCCCTAAATCTTTTAAATTTTTCTCGGCCTCCTTCATGTCTTGGTTGATATGGTTCATGCCTTCTTCAACACGATCGAGTTGTTCTGGTCAGGACAAAGGGATGACAGTGTGGAATGAATTGTATTTTTGTTGCTTTGATTTTGTCTTCAACAGAACATGAAAAATGACCATGTAGAACCGAGTTAATAATGACATTACAATGCATTAATCTGGGCTGATGCATTGCTGAAAGGATGTATGCTGCATTGGATGCTGAAGATTTTTTATTAGTATGGGAAGAATAAAACAAAGGAGAAATTTATTTGAAATATATTAATATAAAAAAGACGTAATGATGTAGAAAGGAAGGGTTATAAAGTTCAAGGTCCAAAAACATAATACAATACATCAACTTACTAAGACACAATGACATCCAGGAGGAAAGAAAGATAGTGTTATTATTTTGCATTTATGTATGTTAATATTAGAGAAAAGAAGTCCTTCCATGGAAAATGCTTCTGTTACTTACTCTTACAAATGCCTTGGAATTAGGTGGGTTTGGGCAGCACAAGTGCTGTGGCCAGTGAGTGAGAGAGTTGGTAGTTAATGGTAGTGGTAATAGAGCGAGTTGTTAAGGGCCTGTGTCAAGGTGCCCTTTCTTCCAGAGGCAGAAAAAACAGACCTGCCACTTCGACTGGTGCTGGATATTGATCTCTAGTCTGAGTGTGGCCTCAGGGATGGTTTTCTTCCCTGTGTGGGTGCTGCAAACCAGGAGTAACCTCATGAGCACAGAACAATTGAAACCACTGTGGGAGCCCAATGCTCTCTGCAAGAGTGTCACCGGCTGTGGCCCTGAGGGGCCTTAGGAAACAGGCACTGGGTGAAGACTCATGTTTGCAGTGGGATCACTTCTGCTTTGCTCCAGGGCAAGTTAAGAAGCACCAGGCCCAGAAACCAGCCACATATAGACCCTGTCTCTCCGCTGGCATTAAACAATTTTTGGCAAATTTCCACCTACGGCTGATGGGTTTTCTTAGTGACTTGGTTTTCTAAGTGAATTGGTGGCTCAGAATAACTTTAATGTGTTCATTTTTTTCACTTTTAAAGCTGGGGAAAATGTCCTGGAGGAACAGAATGCCATGACACAAAAGTGTAGGAACAGGATTCTCTGCTGAGGTAAACAGATATGGGTCCAATTGGATCAAGGGCCTTGTGTGGAGTCTGCTGTAGGGACAGCATTTTACGTGGGATTTACATTTTACACCATTTGATCCCAAAGGATAGACTCAGATGCTGCCCAGGATCAGAACTGTACTTGGAATGGCATTTCAATCCATTAAAAATCATAACTGTAATTAACGAGGAAAAGTAAAGCAATCTCAGTAAAACACAAATACATCCCTAGTCCCCATATGGAATAGAAAAACACTGAATTAGACTGTAGAGAACTAAGAGGGGTGGTTATGGAAGGAATTTAATGTCATCCCTGATTTTAATTGAGTCCTATCCAAAAAAAAAAAAAAAAAAAAAAAAAAAAAAAAAAAAAAAAAAAAAAAAAAAAAAAAAAAAAAAAAAGAAGAAGAAAATTTTAGAAGAAAAATCATATGCATATTGACGTCAGTAAAAAGCTCCTCTTAACTTCTTTGAGAACATGAAGATGCCTAATTTCTTACTTGGGTTTTTAATAACAATTGAAGTTTAGCTTTTCAAAGCTTTCTGGGGGGTTTAGACACCCAGTTCCCATCAAAATTAATTTTATTTAATTAATTTTAATGGGAAACAGGAACCTCACCCCTTGAGGGCCTAGAAAATCCTGGACTAAATTATTCAAGTTGGAATAATTCAAGCATTGAAATTGTGCTCTTTTTTTAATTCTTGCATGACACTGGGCTTTGAGAAGGAGAGGTGCCATGTCATCAGCCTTTCTGCTGTCAGTTCTCATTCTCCTCAGCTGGATGGGCCTCTCTCCTGGTAACATGGGAGTTATCAATCCCAAATCCAAGGATATATTTAGAGTATCAGAGTTACCTGGCACTGCCCTCTAAAAGGGGCACATACTGTAAGCAAAGGATTGGGAAACCAAGAAGGAAACCTGAGAGAGGGACTGCACATGTTCAGCCAGGTAAAATGCTGAGCTGAGAACCAGAAAAGCAAGGTTGGATTGTCTTAATGCACATTATAATGTAGACTTCAGCAGAAGCTTTGGTTGGTGTCCGTAGGCACAGATTGTTGTTCTCATCAGAAATGTGAGCCTGGGGTAGAAGGGGACACCCTCCTTGTACTCCTGCTCCTCGCTAAGCCCAGGTCCTGTCTGCTCCTCAGTTGGGCCACACTTGCTCTCACTCTGGGGAGCAGCTGTGGGAGTGTAAACTGGCTTTGATGCTGATTCATGCAGCATGATGGATTTGCTGCACTTCTGTCACAAGCTCCCAGCTCCTGCTTCTGAGCACTGCAGAGCTCCTTGTCAGTTAAAAGATGGTTGTACCCACATGTGCATTTTGACACCGGGGGATATGAGAGGTATCTGATCTTTCTTCCATTGGTTTTCCTGCTAGTGCTTCTGTAACCTGGTCTCTCCAGTAGCAAAAGCCAGGTTCACACTGCATGGGTCAGTCCTAGATCTGGTACTACTGGTGGCTCTCAGTGGAAGCAATTCTCCTTGCCCAGATGCACACTCTCTAAAGCCATGTATGTAACAGGCCCTTTTAAACGGTCTTTACCTGTTTTCTGTTTTGCCCAAATAAATGAATGCTTCTTGAAGAGTCTGTTTTACACAAATCAAAGACTTCCATTTAAATTACAGCTCTCTCTAGAATCCTGACTCTATTTATCCTACTTCAGGATTTATGTTTGATGCCAGGGCTATTGCTGAATAGGAAAGGGAGCCACAACTCATTTATTCTCCATTAAAGGAAACCTCATCAGTGTAAAAAACCCTTGTCATATTTGTAGCCCAGAAGTCTAGACAGCTAGCTGCTAGTCCTAAGACCACAACCGCTAGTTGTTAATGCTGTGGGCTGGTTGTTAACTGGTTTGAATCAGAATAGTTACGCTGGCTTTGTGGAGCAATGCCAATTTATACCTGTCAAAGATCTGGTCCCACAGGCAAGGAAATAGATTCACAGGTTTAAGCACAATTATTGAGGCATAAATATTACAGTGGAATTAACTTAATGGGGTCACGCTGGATTTGTTTTTGTATAACTGTTTTTAAAATGTGGCCCAGAATGAATCACTGCTGGTAGGAAATCAGATTGCTATCTCCATAGATCTTCCCTATTCCAACATTTTGTGCTCAATTAAAGGTTTTGGGGAAGACAGTTTATTGGCACATACTTCCATTTAGGGAAGTCCTTCAAGGTCAGAGTTTGAACACCTTTTGACAGTTTGTTGCAATATTATTTGAATGAATTGCATCTATATGTTTATGTATGATATTTGATATATACCTAAGGGAATTGGTGCTGTCTGGAGGCAGAATACATATCAGCAACAGGTTACATTTTTTTTCCCTCTGGGAATCTCTGCAACTCTTTTTATATACTGATGCCTGAGAATATCACTTTCATTTCAAGGTAGTGACCATAAATCTTCTTCCAGATCTTACAGCAAACAAATGGCCTATCTTAAGGCAGAAACAAGAACAGATTTTTACCTGTATCATTGTACTTGTGAATTACGCCTGTAAGGTAACTCAGGGAATATAAGTTAGTCCTGTTAGTTTTATCATAGCATTGTGGCCATTTGCCAGTGGGTCTTTGCCAGGATCTTCTGTAACATCCTGGCAATTTCCTATTCTGTGGCTGATCTGGGGAAGTGGCTGAGGCAGAAAAACTGTAGCAAGGGCATTTCTCAGATGCTCCTGTGGTGTCTTGACCAAAAACAGCTGCAAAAGCATCTTACAAGGTATTGGTAGCAAGACCAGCACAGAGCAAGTGTGGGGTTGCTTCACCTTTGCATCCTCATCTGTAATTTATAGCAAATATTCCTTCACTGATGTCCAGGATGTAGAGCCTGTGCTTGAATGTCATTTAAATGGCTGGAGAGATCAGAATTTGTTCCTTTGCCTGGAGTATTGTGCAGGGAAGCAATTTCCCCCAAGGGCAATTTTAATTAGAAAAAAAAGGAAGAAAACACAAAGGACATCTTAAGAACACATTGCAATCGTAATTGCATACAGAAGGTTTAATTTAAGACTCAGCAGATGAACTATTTCCAATGCTACACCGTCATCCTGTTTTCCATAAAGGAGAATCATACTGGAGCGTAGACTGTGGGACAGCCTTTTCAGAGATGCTGAGCTCTGACCTAGCTGAACTCTGAAAGGCACTGCTGGGCACAGGTACCCATGGAAGAAAGCTGGAGGGGAGAGCTGTGAGCCCATGAGTAGCTGTGCTAAAAATAACAGTAGACAAAGGCACAACCTTGCTTTGTGTGGGTTCATTTGTCTTTTGTTCTGTACTACAATTTCACCATAATTAATACCATCTTCCCTGTGAAAACTGGGGTAGTTGTTAGTCCCCTTTTATTTTGCTAATTAGCCATAACATACAAAAATGCCAAACCCACACTCCTGCAAAAGCAGTGGATGTCAGCTCACATGTGTGCCAGTGCTTTTGTTTGTGGGATTGCCCAGTTATCTCCAAGTTTCATTTCCTTTGTAAGCTTGATCAGGAGTAAGATCTGCTGGGCAGATTAATCTGCTCCCCATGTTCCCTGGCACTGCTTTTTGTGCATTCTTGGTGCAAGGAGAAAATTCCAATTGCATTGACATTTTCTTTGTCTCTTATCAAAGTTGTGGCTATTCCTCTGTCTTGTCTTGGATGAAAAATTACTGTGCAGCTACTGTTATTGGAAAAGTTTCTCCACTCCACCTCATTTGGAATACAAGAATTAAATTCTTCTGTAATAAACTGCATAAGGACATCATCACACAAAAAAATGTCCTTGAATGTCCAAATCTTTAACCCTGCTACTATGTCCAGGTGATGGTAGTTTCCTAAATAGAGTTACCAGTCTGGGACCCTTTCTGTGTTAGCACTTCAAGTTTATCTTCACTTTGTACTATTAGTTTCATCAGTTTCTACTGGCTGCTTTTAACCAAAGTACATCCAAATATGAACATTTTTCTAATTTAGCATGTTTTAAAGAAGCAGAGGAATTGCCATTGGCATCCTTTGAGTGACCCCATTTATTTTTTCATGTAAAATATAAGTATTTTAGTGTAAAGATTTACATATATTTATATAGATATAAAAAGTTATATATATATTTTAATATATTATTTATTTATTTATTTATTTATTTATTTATTTATATAAAGGAGCTTGACTCAAGGCCAGATTTTAAAAAAATGTAAGCATTATGGATGCACATGTGGTCTGGTAAAGACTTTCTTAGTGATGGAAAAAAGCCCAACTAGGAAAATATAAACTCCTGTCTCCTTTCTGTGGGCTCCCCGGGGAAAGAGCTGTGTTAACTGGTTTGGGTGACAGTACCTGACCCAAAAAATTATAAGTCTTGATATTGCAGAGGGGCTACTCAGGTTCCCTTTCTTCAGAGGACAGTGAAGCAGGTCTCTAACTTTTATGGGAGTGCCATTCTCTGTGAAATAGGGAGCTCTTGTGAAGCTCCAGATCTCTGCAGGCCATGACAGACTCTGTAACCTGCTGTGCTGCCAGTTGTGCTAAACCTTTTGGCAAGAGCAGCTATCCAGGCTGGCTTTGTTATACAAATACCTGGCATTGTGAAATTACCTTGGCTTACTGCCTTTCATGATCCCAGAGACTTCTGCCCACTGATACCAGAAAATCAGTTCTGCTGTGCACTATTTGGGTTGAAATGGCTCAGAAAGGTTTTTCCATATAAGGCCTGTTTAACTTCAAAGCAAGCAATTTTGTAAGGAAACATAGAAACAGAGCTTCAAGCAAGTGCAGAGATTAGATCTTCTGCCTGCCGCCCACTGGAAAGATCAATGTCATGTTTTCTGTATATTTAACACCTAATAATCTTAAATGACTTGTGCAGTCAGCTGCAAAGAGATCACATGGCAGTGTTAGCAAATGATTTCCTTAATCTGATAATCTGCTGAGACATGTGTGAGCTGCACACATTGCACTAATTACAGAGGGTTCAAAGTCATCATTAGCATATTTTGCCCAGTAGTATAAGTCCTTTAGTGCTAAAATGAAATCAAAAAATTAGCAATTATTATACCTACATATGGTTAAAATGGAGAAAACTTAATTAAACATTTAGCATAGTGCAAGGTTACAATATTTTCAGGTTGGTAGCATTATTTGGCTGTTTTCCTTGAGAAACCCACACTGTATAGTCATAAGCTAAATTTACTGAACGACTTAAGGCATGACCATAACCAATTTAAAGGGGCTTCAAGACCTCCCAAGTCTTTCCTGGAGTTATTGGCTAACTGCATCTGTGACTGTACAACAAGCATTTCAGGTCTCACTCTCAATAAGGGTTTTATACTGAGCTCCCTGGACTCCAGAGAGGTGCATGTGTCGAGTCTCAGCTCCTTGCCTCACTCAGATTGTCCTTCCTGTCATGGCTACAGACTGAATCAGTCAGAAAACTTCTGAATACAGGGGTTTAACAAGAGTAGAATTCCAAACGAATAATTTAAAAACCCAACAAAATTCAGGATTAAAATCAAAATAAATGTCCCTAGAAATCTGTGGAAATAGAGCAGTTAAAGAACAGAAACATATGTTCCCACAAACCACTAAAGTTTCTTGTGCTCTGCCTGTGAATTACATTGCAAGACACATCTGTATATTAACATTCTTTCTTTCACAATATTTGTGATTTATTACAACCATATAATCCATTGCTGAAACAAAACACATTATTTACACAGGTGCCATATCTGTTTCAACATAAGTAATTTTGGGTTTTTTGTATTTGGTGGAAGTTCTTCTACTGCTATTATTTTTTGAAGGCAACAAAATGTTCTCTGTCATATTTTTCTTGTCAAGACAAATCGATGTGACAAAATTTGGTTAATTTTTTTTTCCCTAAATGGGGGATGTGGGGGAAAAGCAATGAGACATACATAAAAAAAGCAAGTAGAAGAAAGTACTTTCCATTTAGGTCCTGTTATTACTTTTCATTCATTACAGTGTCAGAGAGGTAGGGACATTAAAACTAGAAAAGGCCTGTCAGGTACTGCAGTCCATTTCCCAAGAATTCAGTATACTGACTTATTATCATTGTCCGGGTTTGATGAGTAATGCAGCATTACCTCCGCAGAAAACATTTCCTAATAATAATTTTGTGTCCTGCCACATAATAAATAATAACAAGGACCTGTGGGGGGGCTGGTCTGTTAGAGAGTAGCAGAAATTTCTACTCTGTTGATTTATTGGAGACGCCATTTTCCTGGGGCTGTGGGTCTATGGCAAATGAAGACTTATCAGTTTTATTGAGAGGGAGAGAAGGCTACCTTTTCTTTGTAATATTATGAAAGGCAAAAATGTAATTTCCTGGAATGTATTGAATATATCAGGCTCTGTCTTTGTCATTGTCATCCACAGACAGGTAATGTAAGTCTGAAACCTCCTATATGGACAATTGTAATGAGCTGATTGTGTAATATCTTTTAATGTTTAAATTCTGTCATTCTCACTGCCTCACTTCTGTACAAAAAGTAACTGAATCTTACACAAACTAAACCCATTTACCTTCTCTTGGGATGCATTTGTTGCATATCTTTCACTTGTGATTTAAGTGGGAAAATTACTTAGCACCTGCATAAATAATGCTGGATTTTACACTTACAGAGGCAAATCTTCTTATCATGTAGCTGGATCTTGACCCAAAGCTTGCTGAAATCAAATGGTGATTTGGTTGAGTTCAGCCTGCATCTCTCTTTGACATTAATGGGAAGCAGATCAAAAGAAGTACAGACTCTTAGGCAGCATTGTACGTTTTCCTCTGTTGGACAACAAAACTAAAGGCAGAGAGGTTTTGGGGTTCTCATGCACAACCACACGTATTTTCTGTCCCTCATTTCCAGGGTTGCACACAGTCAGTACAGCACTTTGAGAAGGGTTATACTTCCTTACTGAAGCAATCTGAACTTACCTCCTTGCTCATCCAACATAACCAAAGTCCTGATACCAGCATCTTTACTCTACATCCCAATAGTGGTAGCAAGGTAAGGAGAGAGAAGGGGAGAAGAGAGAGAGAGAAAGAGAGATCAGTGAGGGAACACCCAGCCCTTGGTATGGGACATAGGAAGACACAAGAAAAACAGTGAAAGGAATGACAAGGGGCTGATGGCACAATCCAAAGGCCTTATGTGCCTGGACACTGTGTGAGGAACTAGGTAACTCTCCATTGTACCATCAGTCCTTCTGGATTCACTGGGATACCAAACTTCTGCAGAAAGCACAAAGCCATGGACCTTGAGATTAAAATAATTATTTTACACAATAGTATTTTCTAAAAAGAGATGGTTCATCTCCAAGTCAAATGAAGCAGGAGAAGGGAGGATGGGAGTGTTGATATTGTAGGTGGATGTGAATCTCACAGGAGAAATTCCCAGGTACGACATACACGTTTGGGAAGATGGCACAGTAGTTTGTGCACAGCTCTTGCTGCTGACAGAAGTCAGAAAGCTTACCTACTTAGGAAATCCAGTTTAAAGCAGGCTAATATTTAATAGGATTAAGCCATATTTTTTGGCTCAGTGATCTAATAGATATGGGTTTGAGCCAAGTTTTAATTCAGTCAACAGACACCTTTAGCATTAATGGACTTTGAATTGAGCTTGAAAGTAGGATTTTCAAAACACCTACACACTGAATTCACCTCTGTTCCCACAGCTTAGTGGGAATGTTACCACTGCCTTTGCTGGATACAGGGATGGAGCAAAGCTGAGCCATTCACAGCTCCCACCTGCCTAAGCCAGGGGTACAGCACCTTTCACAAGTACAATTTTTATTATGCTTTATCCTCACTCTGGAATGTGATCAGGTGTCTCTAGTTCCTGGGTGCTGTTGTACTGAGCTATATCACACATCAAATTATCTCCTTTTTAATTACAAAGGAGAAACCAGCTCCATTCTGCTTGGAGCAGTGATAACATCTGTGAATAATTGATGGCCTGAATGACCTCCTGACTGTTTCATGTCAATAACAGATGAAGTAAGTCCTCTGTGACCTGACAGCTTGACAGCAGTGCTGCTTGGACATGTGCAGCAGCAATTTACTTGTTGCCATGAACATAAAGTGATCCATGCTCCTGTGAAACAGATGAAGGTGGTGGTGGTGTCAGTTTTGCAGAGGGCAGGGAGATGCCCACAGTTGCACGGCTACATCAGGAACAGAAAACTAAACTCCGGACCGACCTTCTTGCTTTTCAAGCCACCACTCCTGGAGGCAAATCAAGGACCTCATGTTATCCTTCTTGCCAGCTGCCCTTCTCACTGCTCATCAGTTTTTGTGGGTGCAGTGAAGTGTCTTTGGCCATCAGCCCTGTCCACGATCGCAGGGCACTCCCAGGTTCCCACAGCCCACAGTGGCTCAGCCACAAGCCCAACCCCTGCCACGCTCAGGGCTGTTTGCCTGGTGCACCTGGTGCTTCTCTGCTGTGCTTCCAGAGGATCCTGCTCAGCTCTTCTCTGCCTCTCCCTGTGCTCCCATTCTTGTCTGTAATGTCTGCATCACTGCAGAAACTGGAAAAAACATCAGATGTGTGCAGCCTGGCTTGCTCTCTCTTTGTAAAAAGTCCCTGTGTGAGTTGCCAGATGGACAGAAAAGGCCTCCTGCCTCCCCCTGGGTCTGCTGCACCCTGCTGCCCTCAGGTCAGCCATCTACCAGGCACCCACTGCTGCTCTCTCTGCCTTCAAGTTCACACTGCATTTATTTGAATCCCAGCCAGCTTTTAATTTTGCAGCCTTTATAAACTTAGGGTCCAAGGGTTATCTTAGGTTTTCCAGTTTAGAATAAAGAAACCACCTTTAATTATCTTATCTTTTCTGTGGGGCACTAAGCACCCTGTGTCTGCTAAGCACTGCCTGTACAACAGTTTTTTATTGGATCTTTTTATATACTTGGTATCCAGGGAGGTTTTTTCCCCCCTAGATTTGTATGTATTTTAACCAACATGGAAACTCATGCAAACACAAGAAGGCTGCTTGGGCCCTGAGTCACCTTGTGTTTCAGTAAATATGGTGCAGTCTGACATGGGACCCTTCCAAATAATGAACAAACCCTTTTGCTGAATCAAACATAGTTGGGCTGAGAAATATTTACTGTTATAATATTTACACTTTAACTGTCTGACCTTATTTTTCTGCTGTGTTTAACATCTAAGCAAGCCACCTTTACAGAGCTAAGATGTCCAGTGACCTGAACAAGATGTGTGCTAGGAGATTAACTCAGGAGCTAACCCTATGGTTTTTATTTCATATCAAATCCTTACACAGAGTGAAAGAGGTGAAATTTTCTGTTCTTTACCTGATCATCAGTGCCATTTAATTTTATCAGGCAGCACTGCATCTCTTATAAACAGCCTGCCACAACATTAACACAAATGTGCAAATAATAAAGGGTGTGCAATGAATAAACTTGTCTGCATCTGTGGTCTAATCCAAAGCATATTGAAGCTAATAAAGAGGTGGTAACTGAAAAGGATGAGATGTGATTCAGACATCAAGTGACAATCTCCTTCTGTTCCAAATTTCTATTAAGCACTAATTTTCAGCTTTTCCACAAAAGTAATGAAATGTGTAAAGTCAATCAAAAAATAAATCATGTTTGTGCATTTAAAATTGGTCCAGACTTTTCTAAAAGCTCAGTATTTCCATGATAACTGATATTTTAGATAACACAAACCCAAACCTGTCTGTAAGATAGAACTATTCCAAAAACATGTTCATCATCCAGATGTCTGAGCAGGAAACACTTGGTGACTGACCCCCAGTGACAACAGACTGAGGCATCTCTGGAAAGCACAAAACCTCAATTAAAGTAATATAGGGGAAGAAATGTGCCCAGCAAGAGTATTCAGGGGGCAAACACAGACATGTTGGCATTTCCTGCACTGGCAGTGTCACAGAAACTTGCTTTGGTCTCAGTGGAGCAGGTGCCACTCGAGCTGGCTGCTGGGACAATGTGTAACAGGAGGTGATGAAAGCTCTGCTGTGAAGTGCCAGTCCAGAAGGACAGGTTTCACAACCTCTGCCCCCAAATCCTTGGTTACAGACTCACATCACCGTGGGCCCAGGGACTATGCTTGGCTCTGTCTAGTCCTGAGGGCTCCGGAAGGATTCCCACACACATCCAGTGCTCGCCAATATCAGTGATATCCTGTGTGGGAAGCCTGAATTTATAGAACTGGCAGGCTCCACACGTTATGAAATTGTGTGCTAAATTCCCACCTTGGCCAAGATTAGAGTATTTCTCCCCTCCTGTGCAATGGAGGAATCTCTTCAGACCCTCCAGTCCTTGTACAGGCAATCCTGTATTATTTTACCAAAATAAGGATTCTCAAAAAGGTGAAATGTTTAGGAAAGGCCAGGATAGGTCAGAGAGAAGAAAAATGCATCTTTCATTGGACCCTACAGAGTTCATAGAGGACATACCATTTTCATTCAGCTCTTTAATCTGTAGCACCCATCTCTTTTGAGAACAACTTCTGACTCTCCTTGACTTCTTGCATTTGAGAGGAGAATTTGGACTGCTGGATTTTGCCATGGCACAGCCAATCTCTCACATTCTTATCCTTTATAAGAAAATGGCATAGCAAGAATTGCTTATGTTGAGGCATTAAACGGGCAGCCCTGGAGTTCCTCTGTTAATCTATAATGCAGGTATTCTGCAGATGGTAAAATATGTAATATATAAAATAATTTTGCACATGAGATGACCCTTCAGGGCAGGACGCCAACACTTCCAACTTAAAAATGGATCACATTAGGTGAAATAGACTCCATACATTTCAGAAAAGTTTATGTCCTTCAGTCTTTCATCCAGGCTCTAATGCTTGAATAAAAGCAAATGAACAAGCAGTACTAGTTTGGGTTCTGCATCATTTATATGCCCAGGTTCTCCATTTGGCCACTGGCAAAGCTATTAATCAAAGAAGCAGAATATTGATTTTAAATATGATTTTAAACCACCACAATTAATACAACTCATAGATACTTCAGTTTGTCAGTGCTTCAGAGAAGCCTGTTTAACAGCATTACTGGGAACCCTTTTGGAGCTTTTAATAGACATTATCCTTAGTCTTCTGTAATAGCTTTTTAAAACTTTTTGGTTGCTTTTGCTTTGGGTTTTTTGTCTGTTTGTTTGTTTGGGTTTTTTTGTGAGGGTTTCGCTCAAAGCAAGTCAGCTACAAAATGCTCACTAAAATTTGCCCAGCACTTTGGAGGGGAATTGTATTTCTGTATCATTTCTTGTTATTGCTGTTACAGAACTTAATTTCCCAAGATGGAAATAAAAGTGGGAAGACAATTGGAATGACTTCTCAAAGGGCTCATCAGTCCCTCCAGGAACACAGTGTGTTGGGTCCTGTCCTACCAAAGGCAGCTACTCAGATTTTGGTTTACCCTGAATGAAGATTTTCCTAACACTATAAGGAGATTATGTATCAGATAGAGAATCCAAAATCTGGAAATCACTTTCCCTGCATTTCAAGAGGTATCCTGAAAAACACATATACACTCTCAGTTATGTGAAGAACACACAAACTTCCCCTTCAATGAAGAATTTTGCTTTAATCCAGAATTATAGTTTGTTTGAATAAATTAATGCAGACATTATGTACCGGGACAGGCTGACATTGCTAGCAGTTCCCACAGACACTAAAGAGAACTGTCAACACCCTAAAGACAAAAATGTGGTCAAATAAACATTTTTTAGTTATCCGTAGCAATGAATTTGCTCAGCTCCTGCTCCAGGTTCCCTGTCACCCTGTTAACGCTCTGATGTCTCCCTGATTAAAGAGCTACACACTGCTGCTCTGCCTGGTAAAGCACATTCTCAGCCCACGTGAATCTGCTACACCCCTGGCTAACACACACAAAGGGGTCCAATCCTGCATTGGAGGAAGAGAGGCCAAAATTATAGTTCACATTCCCTCATGCCAGATATGGAGTAATAATGGTTAAAACACTTTTCTGAGGGGAATGGTTCCAATAGTTCAGTACTTCCAATAGGTCTAATGATATCAAAACTGAATTTCAAATCAGCTTTGACAATGTTTGGGCCAAACTCTAAATTAATAGAGCACTTTTATTTTTTTCAGACTAAGGAGCATTTGGCTATGATAATAAATGTCAGTGTACACTCACAGCTGGTAAACTGGCATTCTGTGTGTTCAGTATCCTGCATAGGGCAGCACCAGTTATCAAACATTTATAGCTCAGCATTTCACCTTCAATACTTCATTCTCACTTTACACGAGAGAAGATAGTCCTGTCTGGATTTAAATGTACAAAACAGCCCTTTTGTCTGTACATTCCTAAGTACTTTCTTCTGAGCTTTTACCATTACTGATCTTGTTATTTTTTCCTTGCTGCTTCATAGCTACAAAACATCCTTTTTTCTCTTTACTACCACAACTGTTTTTCCTTAAAGGCCATGGTGGTGGCATTGGGAGAAGGGAGCAAACTACCTTTTCTCCCCATGTGTGATATTCTGCATTGCATAATGTTGTCTCAGAGGTAAAAAGCTTGAACATGAAAAGAAGGTCAGCTACAAACTGTATTTAGTCTCACTTGTTCTGCCTCACTTAATTTTTATTTTATGTTTTGGCCCAAACATTGCACAGCATCATCAGAAAATACAGGTATTTATAGCACTGAGTGGCTCAAAAGAGCACTGGTCAGTGCAGATTAACTGCACTGCCTGGGCATGATGGGCACCATGGAGCAAACTTAGTTTTGGAATCTGCCATTCCAGTACAGAGCTGCCTTGGGGCAAAGCCATGGCTGCTTTTGTAACATTTCTTGCCTCCCTTGTTGTGCCAGGACAGAGAAAAATCAGTTTATTGCTAAGCTGGCTTATAAAACCAAGAAGCAATAACATCCTTGGTTTTCCTTTCCCATGTTCCCTGGGAACGCATCAGGGCTTAGTATCCAAACTCTGAATAGTCTTCTGGGGCAAGTAGGGCATGTCCTTTGGGGACATATTCGCAGGCTATGACCTGCAATTAGGTCTTACATGGCTACAGGGCTTCCTTGGATGAACAGCACTCTTCTGTCTCTAGGATGGAGTCCAGACAGTCTGTTTATGCTGTATTTCCCCAGTATCAATCCAAACAAATATACACAGTGATAATGCTTAAACATGGAGGCATCCTTTTCCTAAGAGAGGAAGAACAGATCTGCTGTATCAAAAGAATAGCATAAAAAGCATTCTTTCCCTGAGTATTTCCTATCTCTATCTACTAGACAGGTTCTGCTAAGTGAGGAAGTCTAATTGGATTTTGGGGGTTTATTAAATCAGAGCAGTGCAAGTTCAATTTCAAATACTCTCACCATTTGTCTTTTTGTATAAAATCTCTCACTCCCTAAATGCTGTATTTTTAAGTACCTAGGAAAAGGGATTGGAATAATCAACCAGCTGTTTAGCCACAGAAGAATTTTAAAGGTCTCCTGTAGTCACATTAGTGAAAATAATATTCAGCTCATTTTAGAAGAACTCCCTTGACTACTCAGTGCTAATTTTAGCAGCTTCTCTATTTGGACAGGAAGATACTGTGGCATCTGAATAAAGACCAGGTCCAGAGATGCGGAGCTCTTCCAAAGAGTGCTATAAATTCATTGGTAAATTCAGCAGTCCCAGTTCTCCTCCCACTTTGCCATTTGCTGTGATTTAGTACTGAAATTCCAGTGGCATTCGCAATATGCTGGTTCAATATGTTAGGAAGACTCAAGAAGTGCATAGGCCGCACAAATAAGGCTCAGGAGAGGCAGGGCTGATATTTACTCATGGCTTGGCCCTGAGCAAATCACTTCCCTTTCCTGTGCCTCTCCTTCCCACTCATCATCTGCCTTGTCTATTTAGATCCCAGGCATTTTGGGGCAGCAAGCTCTCCTGCCTTGTGTTGTGGGGGTACTCATACGAGGCTCTCTTCCTTGTTGTTGAATAGATTTCAGCAGGAGCTACATCCAGCACAGAGATGACATCAACTGGTGGTTAGGAATGGTGTGTCCAGGGAACTGAGCAGCAAAAAGGGACAGATTGTTTGTGAGACAAGAAGTGTTTTGGCTGCAAGGGGCCCCGATCTAAAGTGTTTGTGGAGGAGAAGTGATGCTGACTATGCTCAGTGACCCATCTGTCTGTCTGTACATGGAAATTTAATTTTGTCTCCACTGGACTCCATTGATCTTCACAGTGGTGATTGATTTCAAGGCCATAAAGCCTATGGCTGGGGTTGTGCTTGTTCCTGAACATGAGAACTGATGTAATTTTCTTCCTATTGTCTCTGCTGGAGACTCCTCTGGTTGTCAGGGGTACTGGGACTGTCAGTGCTGATGACCCTGATTAAAAATGTCACCAGCTCCAGCACCACGGCTTGCATGGTGTCTGAAAATAATAAGTCCTGTCAGGCATCAGCAAAGTTTTCCACCACCTGATGGCTGAACACTCTAAACTAAACTGAGTTGAGATTTCCCAACTTTAAAACCCCTTTATTGTGGAGAGGGTGAAATATTCCCAGACTGAATTGTTTTTTTCCCTCCGGGCAGGTAATAGCTATGAGGACCAAGCCAGGATCCCATTTCTTAGCACCATGGAAAATCAGAGAACTCCCAGCTCCAAAATGGTCAATCTAGGACACCTTGTGAGCCTTGAAATCCTGATAAATATTTCAGAGATACACAAAGAAATAGCATTTAAATGCTGTGTTGACCAGTATTCTATAAATAGCTGCAAGTGTTTATGGAGAAAGAAGTATTTAAAGCAGAATGGGAAAACGGATCAAGGGCCCTTCTCACCTTCCCCTCTTGCAGTGTTACGTCAAGGATGTGAGAGTGGTTCTGGCACAAGGCTCCTAGAGCTCTGCAGCAAACTGAGCCACTTGTCCCTGACTCCAGGTCACCTTCAGAGGCTGATTCCTTCATTTATCTCCAGAATCGTGTCTCAATGCATCCTCAGGTATGACCAAACCAGTGCCTTGGCAACCAGGGAACAGTGTCTTGCACAGCCCTGGTGAGGGGTAGGGATGAGCAGGGACAGTGGCACATAAAGCCATGACCAGGCCCTAGCAATGTGAATTTTAAAAAATCCACTTCCAGTGGCAGGCTCCCCATCACTTCTGCTTACAGCGGAAATGCAAATGAAATGCAAGTCCTTACCTCTTCAACAAGCTGCAGCATTCGACGGGTGCTCTCAAGGGACTGAAAAGAAAACAGGAAAAATCACTGAGATTTGGCAAGTTACGCTTTCCAAAGCTAATGTGCAGGCTCATGCTGACAGGATGTTTTTCCTGCACACTTTCCCTCCCCTCCAAATCAGGCTATCAGCAGGGCACTGGTGATCTCTCCATCTCCATCTCCATGGATGGTTAATGCAGCACATCTCGAGGCAGCTGCTGTCTCCAAGGCTTGTGCTCTCCTTGCTCACACGCTGCGGCAGTGCTGCTTGGAACCATGGTTGTTCCACTTTAAAAATAAAGCCTGTGGTTTTCAGCTATGACTCCTCAGAAACCTAATTGGTGACTTCTAACATTTAATAGGTTTGACAAATCGAAGGAATCCTCAGAAAATATTAAATTGCTGCCTTTTGCTCTGAGGCCAGTCAAATTGATGCACAATCTAATACCTAAACCAAATTCACAATCAATAAATTCCCTAATCTGGACTGAACACTGAACACAACATTAAATTTTACCCCAGCTCATTTCATTTCCAATTCTGTTTTCAGTGTAAAGCTGATGGAAAAGAGTTCTAGAAATCCTTTAGGAGATCAGCTCCTATTTCTGGCTGTGTGTTTCACACCAAGCCCAGCCCAAGTTCCCAGTTTAGCTACTGGTCTCACTTCATCAGCGAGCTGGTCGGCGCGCCGCTGCATTTCTTCCAACTCATTGCGCATATCTGCGTCTTCCGCCATTTTAGCTGTGGGGGTGTTTGGGAACGCTGCGGATCAGGATTTGCACTCAGCTGCTTTGTGAGCCTGGAAGACAGCAAAAAGGAAGAGAAACATTGCGGTTAGGAGTAGTGCTTAAATGTCAGTCCCACAAAAGTGCTTTTATTACGTCCTTGTCCTCACCCAAAGTCTCATTTGGGATAGTAATTCCTACATAGCAGAAAGCAAATCCTTCCTTTTTTCTTGACCTTTCAAATGCAATTCATACAGAAGCTGGACACTTAGGAGATGCTATCTGCTGCCAGAAACAATCTTGAAACTCATTCATTCTTCTCTAGCATTGAAAGGCTTAATGTGAAGAAGGTCAAGGTCAAGCCTATGCCCCTCATGTCCTGTGTTTCAGCTGCATTGCTTGGAGGGCTGGATGCTCAGCTAACACATTTGTAATTAAATTAAAGACTACGAAACTTCGCAGATTTTTATTGGCTAATGACTTTTCCAACATACTATAGCTCAGACTATGAAATAATATTTACAGCTAAACTGGGAGAAATCTACATGGGAGAATCCTTAATTTTGTGACAGTAGGACCTAACTGGTATTTACAACTTCTCCACAAAGTAGGTCAGATTCTGATCTTTGTTATCCTTCTTGATACAGAAGTAAAACCTGGAGCTGGTCCTAACCAGAGGTCAGGATGCAGCCCATTAATCCTCGATTTGGTAGGGTTTCTTTTTTGCTACAAATTCAAGCTAGCTCTGATTATTGAGCATGCCTTGATTAAGAAAGGCGGGCCCTCCTACCATCTGTCAGGTCTTTATAACAACAACACCGGCTTATTTCTTTGCTTGATTCAAGCATGGCAAATTACTGCTCACTAAATGTTAGATTTGCTCATTGCAGGAAAACCTAATTGCAGGTGCAGAGGAGGTGGGGAAGTTGTGGGGGACTGCAAGTAAACAGCCATAAAGCAGATGCCATCATGCTCAATTACAGAAAAAGGACAAAAGCAGCCCCTTTCAGCAGAGCTGCTCTAAAGAAGGCAGGATCCCGGGGGCTGTTTTCTGTCCTGTCTTTGCAATATGTGCAGCCTTTATGAAACAAGATAAGTCAGGGCAGAGCTTGGCTCTAAAATTTTAGCAGTAACAACTCTGTTAAAATAGAAGTTGCTATGTATTGGAGATTAGACCTTTCCTCTCTTTGATGGTGCTCTCCATCAGGATATCAGGAGTATGGGCTGAGCAGGTACAGCTGGGTGGCAGAGATACTTCCTGGATCACACCCTGCTTGCTTAGAAATGTGTAGGGAAAGCAGACAGCTCCTTGCATTTCCTCTGCAGCTTCAGCAACAGATCTGCTGTTTTTCTTATCTGAGAGGGAATATGTGACCTTCATGCCTTCACATTAGCTGTGCCCTCACTTGTGGTTGCTTTTACTCTTTGAAGCTACAGCAGGAAGAAATCCATCTCGAGGAGTCAGCCCTGCAGCTACTGGCACAATATTCTACTTTCATCAGTGTACGTATCACCACATCCTTGTCAGAGGGAGGCTGGCATTTTGTGATGGGTCACACCATCACATGTAGGAGCCCAAATGTCTGCTGGAGAAGGAGGCCACCTGGTCTCACCAGCTGTGTGGTCACAGCAGTATGAAGGACCAAGCTTAGGCAACTCATCTGCAAGCCCAGCTGATGCAAAGGCAGAGCTTAATTTCATGGCTAATACTCAGGCTGGTATTGGACACTTCAACGATGCTCACAAACAGAAGGAAATGAGCTTTACAAAAAAAATGGTGCACTTTGGTATTTAGGAGGAAAAGATAAACTGGGAACTGGTCTCTTCCAGAAGGGCATGTAAAAGTGTGGGGATACTCTCAAGGCCAACCACAACCTTCCCACCCTGCTGCTGTGCTGGTGGTGCCCTTCGTAGCACACAGCTCTAGGAAAACACTGCTCCTGGCCAGCAAATGGAGTGCTGGGATAAAAAGAAGTTATTTTGGTAAAGAACCATGCTCCAAACTCCTGTCTCACTTGGCACAGGCTGGCTCTAGCACTGGTCACTGCTTCACAAATTGTGTTTTTTTCCCAGATTGAGGCATAACCCAAAGCTGAAATATTTCTGACATAGCCTCTGTACCAGAATAACAAGATTAAGTCTGTGGACCAAGTTTTCGAGCATCTGGTTAAAATATTCTCCTCTGCCTGGACCCCTTGCTACACTTGTGCTGGCAGAGCAGTAGCACCGAGCTTGAGCCAAAATCAGGATAATTTGATTAGGGCTTTGGGACTGATCTAATTGGTAAATACATATAGATGTTGAGGGGTGGGAAAAGTGGTTCTGCGCTGTGTCTGTTGGTATCATCTCACTAGCTGTAAAGTGGGAGGTGATGCATCAGTGAGAGGGTGGGATGCTAACAGGGAATTTGGTTCATTTTCTAAGCATATCCAGTGTGAGCTGAATAATTACAGACCTGTAAGTGAGTGGCGCTGACATGAGGGCTTCTACTGACAACAGCAACTTATTTATTGACTGTTGGTCAGTCTCTGCAGATTAAAAAAACTTCACAGAAAATTCCATTCTCAGGTAAATTCCAGCCAGACTTTTGATGTTTCCCTTACAATTTTTTTTTTTTAATCATGAGCTAGTGGTGGTAATGGGGTGAAAAAAAAAAATAAAGAAACAACATGAAGAAACTTTCAGAGAAGCATGGAATGGTTTAGGTTGGAAGGTTCCTTAAAGATCATCTCATTCCAACCCCCTCCCATGGACAGGGACACCTTTCACTAGACCAGGTTGCTCAGAGTTCCATCCAACCAGAGCTTGAACACTGCCAGGGATGGGACATCCACAGCTTCTCTGGACAACCTGTTCTGGTGATTCACCATCCTTAAAATCAAGAATTTCTTCCTAACATTTAATCTAAACCTACTACCTCTCACTTTGAAGCCATTGTCCCTTGTCCTGTCTCTCCATGCTCTTGTGGGTTGTTTTTTTTTTTAGTTACCCTTCTTGGTTTGTTAGAACCATCAGTTGGCATCTTAGTGACAGACGTGCCTTATTTTGCATCAAGCTAAAAACAGTGTCAGAGCTTGTAACCGGAGAGATATTGTGCAGCAAGTGATCAAACTTGACAGGTTTATTGAGATTGTTTGGTATTTGTAAAGCACTTAGCATGGATTGAGAAATAGCAAAAAGCATTCTTCCAGTCAAGTCATTTTACATCAAGTTTTAGTCATAAACAGAAGTGCCCCGCAGCTATGCTGATTCAACTTTAATAGAAGACTGTGCCCAAGAATCAATAAAGGTTACTGATTTGCACACAGTGTGATAAACTACATATATTTTGTAGATGGCAGGGAATGAGTTTAAAATTTTTTTCGGATTTTGCAATTTATAATGTGGAATAGAACATATTAGGGATAGGGTTTTCCTATCTCTAGCTGTGAGTGTGGAAATACTAAAAGTACTGCTTAGGCTGAAATGCCATTCCAGTGTCATGAATTTCCAACAACAAACCTTGTTATCAATAAAAATCCTGTAGAGAAAAGAATTATGTATTAAAGGGAATTATTGCTCTGAAGTACAAAGTAACAGTTCTCCCTCTCTGGTGTTTCTTAGGAACATCTATAAAAAGCTTTGATTTAAAACTCTTGATGTTTTAGAACATTGAAAGTTAACAACTTCAGGAATGGTCAAGGAAAGTTAAACCATGATGAATCTTCTCTTACTGATACTAGACAGACTTTCAAAAGTATAAGGTCTGGTTCAGGCCCACTGAAACCTGCACTTGTTTAAGTAGACAGAAATAGGCCTAAGATAGTATTGAGGACTTAGGGTAATAAATTCCTTGCAGAATTTATATTTTTGTTACTAGTTGATATTTTGCATTCTGTACTCATTCAAGTTAATTTGAACCAAATATCAAAACCCTACAATTGCCTTAGGAATCTCTAATATAACTGGAATAAGCTCTCCGAAGTGTACTCTGTACTTCTAATTTAAACTGCATTTTACTATATCTACAGTCCCTGCAGAGATGACAAATCAGAAGAAAGACCAAAGTAGGGATGTAATATGTTAAGCTCTTTCAATCAAAAAATTTAATGGAAAAAAAAAAAAAGATTGCTACAGAATTTACAGACCCTACATTAATTCAATTTGTGTTTATACTTGTGGTAATTGCCTATGCAAATTCAGCCTCAAAATTTCACATGGACTTTGGTTTTTCCATTTTAGAAAAGGAAATCATCTGGGTTCACAAACAAACATCCACAATGCTTTTTAAAAAGGAGAAAAAAGCTCAAACACTGCTACAACATACTGTGTACAACATGTTCCAGGCTGTGCTCTGTCTCCTACACAGTGTAAGGTACAACTCCAGGCACTTGGGTCATTTACATCAAATTCCCTGCAGACAGTCTCGTCCCTTATGCCAGTGCTCATACAGAAGCACCACAGACTGAATGTTATAGGGAAATACAAAGAGGGACTGGCTAATGGAAAGGCACTGCCTATTACACTTTGAATTCTGCATCTGCTATTTCAGTAGTGCCAAGATGCAGTAAAGAATCCCTTAGCAAGAACATTATATATTCGTATGGAATGGTACTAAAAGCTCAGAGAGACCTACATCTGTCCCCAGAGGAAGAGAGATACAGTGACCTTTGAAAGCAAATATTTGCTTCACAGTGATATAAACACTTCAATATATAATAAATATAGGAAAATGAAAATGTTGCAATTTACTGGAAAGAAGGCAACACAGCAATAAAATGTTCCTTTTTTAAGCACTCTCCCTGTTATTAAAGGGCACATCTACTCTTCCCATAGATATTTGTAACCAGAAGATGACTGCACTGGTGTATTTTACTAAAAAAGTCAGAGTTGGTCAATCCCACTCCTTGTGCCTCTTTCCTGTATGACTGAAAACATTACCATGGTGGTGTGGTGTTCATAGAACCACAGAAAACCTGGGGAGAGACTTTGAATCAAGTCTCTTAGGATGGATGCTGGGCCATTTAAAGGTGGAATTTGGGTTGCTGCTGTTGTCTGGCTGTTGGTAGAAGAAGAAACACTGTCAAAGAGGAAG